GCAACCCCACGGCACCCGTGGGTAGCGGGCGGGTGTGTGTCCAGGGGCTAAACGCCTGCGACGTGTGGGTAGGCAACCCCACGGCACCCGTGGGTGGCGGGAGGGGGAGGGTGGTATGTGTCAAGGGGTCAAGGACGTGCTGCCACATCTAATTTGCCCTCCACTTCCTCTAGTGTGTGGGCGGCGACGGCGGCGGCGGCCCCAGATGGGGGCGGCGCCTTCGGCGGAGGTGACGTCCATCTCATTTCAAATGGAGTGGCGTATGTGCTCAGGTGTAGGTGGGTGCGGTTGGTCGCGCGCTCTCACTCTCGTCGCCGCCGAAGGTCGACCCCCTTGAGCTCTGACCCGCCGCCGCCGGCCGCCGCTGCCGCTGCTGTGCAGAGCCTGGCGCGGTGCGATACGCCCCAGGAGCCAGGAGGAGCCATGAGCCGGCCACGTGGAGCCTGCCTGGCGGCTGCCTGGTCCTAGAGCCGGCCCGCCCGCTATCGGGGGCTTATGCTCTGCGCCGGGCCATGGGCGGAGTGGGGGTAATGACCCTAGAGACTGTCCTGTCGTAGTGTCAACGCGCGAGGTAGTTGTGCCGCCCGAGTCAATGTCTGCCGGCCCCGTTCACTCGAGCATTGTCTAACTCGTCAACTCTGTGTTTTGTTTCCGATACTGTTTAATTTGTACCTTTAACAACGCCCAAGACTGTCTCCCTACTAGACGTGAAGGTGCCCCCTCCCACCTCCTCTTCGACCAGCCACAAGTATACCATCTGGAGCGCAGCGCCGGGACGGCCAACTTCAAGATCGAGTGCTTTGTCCCTTGTCGCGATCACTAAGACCTTCGTCGTCTCTTCTGCGTGTTCCAGCCTCGCCGCAGCTATGCTGTCTCTCCGCTCCGTCCGCGCCCTGGAGGCCGCGGCCGTCCGAGGGAAGGCGACGGCGGCCCAGCCCCGGCCGCAGCCTGGCGACGAGGAGGACGCCGGCCGAGGCGTGCGGCTGCAGGCCGCCCCTGACCGCCAGGCGGAGCTCCTGGAACAGCTGCAGGAGCGGGAGGTCCGCATCCCTGTGCCCTGGGGACACGTTGCCGGTAAGGATTTGGGTCTTGGTCCGAAACCGGAAGTGGTTTCTAAAGCTTTGGATCCGGAAGTGGTTTGCAAAGCTTTGGATAGGGGCGCTGCTGTGGCCCATGGTAGCTAACGTAAACCATTGTGGCCCTACAGAAATTATTTTTTTGTAAAAGCTGAAATTTAGGAGCCTGCCTTTATCATGCCCTATAATTCCTGAAGCTGCTGCGTTGGGTTATGTGGGGTAATATTGGGTTGCGCGTGCGCGTGGTTTTAGCTCTGTATATCCCCGGGGTGTAAAAGCATTTACGCCCCTCTGAGTTTGGGCCTACCTGGCGGCCGAGCGAGGCGCGAGGCGGCGGCGGTGGTGACCTATGGCCGGCGTGGCCACTAAGGCTGCGGCAGCTGACTGCCTCGCCTTCCCTTTCTGCTCACGTCCCCAGAGTGGGGCCGCCGCACGTCCCGGGGCCGCATCACTGTGAGGCCAGCCCGTGGGCCGGCCGCCCACAGCCCCACCCTGTCGCTGCTCAAGCCCAAAGTCATTAGGGATTGCCGGTAAAAACGGCGACGTGCTCCGAGCGTACTGCCCTGCCTCGCGCCGTCAGCGGAGAGTTTGCTTGTAAACGTTACTGAGGCTCACGCAGGGACATTTGACGTCCAGTACGCACGTTGCGCACCCGGGCCGGGGAAAGGGCTGGGGGCTGGGGGTGGGGGGGACATGAGCTTCTTTTGGCGGGTGTGAGAGTGAGAGTTCCGCCTACTACCCGCTACCAATTGTTTTGTTTTCGAATCGATCGTCGAGGCGTTATTTCGCAAAAAACGTTATCTAACTCGAATATTTTTCCTCCCGCGGCCCTTTTCTTATTCCTCCGCGAGTTATTCCGGTTATGTCCTTCCAAGACAGGCACGGGAGGTCTCGTATGGCCGCCCTTGTTGCCCGGCGGCGGTGGAAGTCCCATACCGCCTGCTCCGGCGGACTGGATGTTTGACCCCTGCTCCTCCCCCTCCCCTCCTCTCCTCTCTCGCCCCTGTGGGGGGAGGCAACCCCCCTGTCGGCAGAATCAGATAAGGCGGCCGATATGTTTCGTCGTCGTAGGCTAACTTTCGGCTTGTTTTGCCGCCCTCCGTCCCGGAAACAGCTGCTCAGAAGATTCCGATGCTGGGGCGGCACGGGGTGCCGAGAGACGGTGGTGGGTAGGGGAGAGGGGAGCGGAGGACTTTCGGCTACCGTCATCGCCAAAGAGTGAGAATGACAACAAACTTTATCTCGTATAACGGCGGGAGGCACTGGCCGCCGGCGAAGCCCCTTCCCTCCCCCTACCCCTCCGGTCCCTCCAAACAATCACCTCGTCTTTGTCTATCGCCCCCCCCCCCTCCCCCACGCACCCATCGCCGTCACCACCACCACGCTATTTATGTAATGTGGACATTGTAGTAGGCGCAGTAGTGCGGCGGGTCAAAGGTCAGCCCGGCCTGGCCCGGCTGGCGCTCTGGCGGCGCCAATCGGTTACATCAGATGATAACACACACTCGTGCTGATAACGCAACGACGACAATCATTACCGCGACCGCCTCGCCCACGCTGCGGACACCTGGTCATTCCCCTGGAGGGAAAATAGAGAAACTTGTCCCTTTCACGTTTATTTCCGGAGCGGCGGGGGCGTCGTCGGTGGCCTCATTTCCGTTTTAACCAGCAGAGATCGACGTCAATGGGCGAGACACGGAGGCTCCCCTTATTTTGGCACGGCCCCCCTCGTTTTGGTCCGAGCGGGGTTTTATTTTGTCCTGCACGCGGAGATGTCCTTGAGACACTGAGCCATCAGTGCCGAAGGTCGCCTGCTACACAGCTCACAGAAAGCGCTTATTCGCGGGCTTCTGTTCGCGCGGACGCGAGCGGCGGTCCGAAGTCCCCGCGCGCCGGGCAGCCGGACACACTGCTGTGCTGTGAGCGGGAGCCGGTATGCGCACGCACAGCCTCGCGCAGGCCGTAGGCATTCGCGTGGCATTTATCGCTACAGCAGAGGGCAGCTGTTGCAAACAACCCTGATCTGCCCACGAGCTTTACGCGGACTATTAGCACACTATCGTGCTGCTCCCGGCCCGTAGGGGGAAGGGACGAGGCGAGGGGGATGCTTAATTTCTCTGGCGTCGTTTTCATTTCCCAGTTCTGTCGGCGCGGCTGCCGCTGTCGCGCGCGTTTTTGTTCGGATATGGCGCGGCGCGGACTACCGACGCCCACTCTGCGCGCTTTTACAACCCCCCGTGTGGTGCGGCCGAATGGTGGGGCGAAGTGGTCTCGACGCAAACGTGACCTGCCGAAGATAAAGGGGTAGAAGAGTTTACTATCGCCTAACCACAGACCGCTGCGTCGCGCTGCGTCGAGGAGAGAACTCTCACTGCATTGCACTTTTACCGTTCCCCCCGTTCCCTCTTGTCTACTACTACTTTACACAACTGGTTCCGCGAACTGCTCCTCGCCGTTTCCCCAGCTGCAGTTAAAGAAGTTTTAAATAATTGTGATCGGGTTCCCTGCTGAAGCGGCAACAGCCAGCATCCCCCGCCCCCACCCATCCCCCCGCCGTGTGCCGCACTCACGGGCAAGTTAGAAGTTTCTCCCCTGACGAGGGACTGGCATGTCCAGCCGCCATCAGGGGGAAGGGGGGGGGGCTTTTGTGATGGAATACGATCCCCCCGTGATCGAGGGGAGGCCGGGGTGCAGCGGGGTGCAGGGGTAGGTGGGGGCTTTGGAAAGAGGAGTACGGAGCCTCATCTGCGACCCGAACACCCCCGGCGTGGGCACTCCAGTTAGGGCGCCGCTCCGCTTGTTCCAAAAGTTTTTCCTTCGCCATCTCTTTTCTCGCATATTTAGCACTCCCTCTGTACACTTTTTCCTGCCCCCGGATGACCCCGGCCGCCCAGGTGTGGGCGGCGGCGGCTGTAGCGAGGGGGCTGGTAGGAGCACACAAATACTACATGTAGGAGGAGCGGTCGGCAGGCAAATCCGCTTACTTAGGGCAGAGGATAGGGGTCGACCCACGAACGGGTCGTCGTTTTTAGTAAAGTTGCGCGGGATTATCCCGCCTGTTGGCCGCGGGCGGAACGCCACCGTGTAGGGGCGTGGCGGGGCGGGGCCGGGCAAGCCTTACCGCGCATCGGCAAACAAGGCCGGGAAAAGTCGACCCAACCGGCGAAAAGTTTCGCAAAAACGTGCGGGGTTCGTTCAACAGGAGGAACAAGTTGGCTGAAACTTGGAGGTACCGTGGGCCGCGTGTCCACATGCCCCTGGTGGGCCCCTCCTGTGTGCTCGGGGCCGCCGGCGGCTCTCCGGATAGGCAGCATCTCCTACACCGCATGTGGGCGGGCGGCCCACCGCGAGGCCTCCCCTGCCTGCTTACCTGGTTGGGAAGAAAAGCAGGGCGGCGGCGGTGTCCACGCCCACACGCTACACGGCCCGAGTCCCGTCCCGCAGCAGCGGCCCCAGGCCCCAGGCGCCCACCAGATGAGCTGCTTGATTGAGCTGACCTTGGTGACCGCGCCGCGCTACTCCACGCCACGCCACTCATCACAAGCAAGCCTGGCACGCCCGTGGCTGCACTTTGCGCGCCCATTGCTCGCGCGTCAGTGTGTGTGTAAGGGGGGGGGGGGGTGTCTAGTGACCACCAGAGAGCCCCCCACCACCCAGGTCAAAGTCAAGGCTAGGATTAAGGCACTGTGCACTGCGAAGCGCTGCGTGCGAACTCAGTTGATGACGTACTGCTCGTTTCTAATCGCCTGTCCGTGTGTCATTGTGTCCCTCCCTGTCCGCAGGCAAGTGGTGGGGCCGCACCGACAGGCGGCCGTTGCTGGCGCTGCACGGCTGGGGCGACAACGCGGGCTCGTTCGAGCGTCTCGCCGGCGCGCTCCGCGGCGTGCCCGTGCTGGCCCTGGACCTGCCCGGCCACGGGCTGTCGTCGCGCGTGCCCCGCGGTCTGGCGCCCGCCGACCGCGGCCTGCTGCTCGCCACGCTGCGCCGCGTGCAGCGCGCCCTGGGGCTCACGTCGCTCTCGCTCGTCGGCCACTCCCTCGGGGACGCTGTCGCCCTGCTGTACGCCGCCACCTACCCCACCGACGTGGACATGTAAGTTGGGCTGCTGAGCGAGAATCCCAATTCTTTCCTGAAAAATTGAAATATTTTCAGAAAAATTTGACAATTAAAGTTTTCAGGGGAAAGTAAAGAGACTAACAACAAAATTCTTAACTTCCAATTT